TTTGTGTGGAAATGCTATACTTACGAATAGTCAGTGGGCAATGGAAGACCGGCACCCGCTGTGCATCTTTGTAATGGAATTTGTAAAATATTTATGTAGAGGGAATTCATAAAGCCTTTTTTCTTCATTTCAGTTCTATTCCACTAAAACCAAATTGAATAGTTTTTAATATAGAATTTACAAACCACACTATCTGATAATTTTAAAAGCCTTCCGGCTAAACAGACTTTTCTCTCCCAGGTTGAGTGTAATTTTGTTGTCAAACTGTTCAGATGTGGGTCATATTCTAAAACCACTGCTAAGTTAGCTGTTAAAGTCAACTGAATCTCAAGTAATCACTAAACAGCAACTTCAATGCTGACAGATTTTATTTAAAAAAACACCTTATCTAGGCAAAATTAATGGGGGTTTAGTTACATTATATGATCATACATTACATAAGCCTGCCACAACGTCAATGTACCCCATCTTTGGCAGGTCCCTCTCTAACAGCTTAATGTCTGCTCTTATGAGATTAACTTACTTGGTTGGCGAAAAAAAATTCCATCTGGGGCTCTCTGCAGTACAAGGCTAAATAGGGCCCTGGAATGAGGCACTTGTGACAAAACAAAGGAGTTGTCTATTCCACGATCCTGCACTCACATTTGTAGTATAAGTGCCACGGTGCTCTTTCAGCCAAATCAGCATAAATCTCCACGAAGAAAGGTACACCCTGGGCTTTTTGAGGAAAATTATTAGTCTTTTTTCATAACACACGGGTTACAGCAAATCAACACACGGGTTACAGCAAATTTAGTCCATCATAGGACTTGATCCTGATGAAAGCCCTATGATGGACTGAAACATCGATTTGCTTTATATGAATAAAGACAGATAATTTTCTTCAAAAAGCCCAGCATGTGACTTTCTTGTGGAGATATTTATGAAACCAGGGGGCTGCACTCACCTGAACATGCATAAATGGGGTGCCGCTGGGGGCCATTTTATACAATACACAAGATCCAGCGCACTCACTTATCCACTAAACAGCAACTTCAATGTTGACAGATTTGACATGCATAAAGACACAATATTTAATTTACACCAGATTTATCTACCAATATTTTTAGCCAAGGCTTGAAGGAAAGTTGGTCCATCCCCAGTGATGGTGTAATAAATATAGTTTAAATAATTTTAGAGTTGCAGTTACAACTAGACTGGTATTTACTAAATGCAATCTAGGTATTTGCCCATATACTTAAGAATCCGAATTTAGTGAAAAGTGTGTGTCTCTCTCTCAAAGCCAAACTGGCTGTAATCTCCGTGGCTTTGTAGATTTTATATGTGTGCGTGTTTAGATTTTAATATGTGTTTGCGTGTGTGTGTGAAACCTTTTTTTTCCCTTTTTTTTTTTTTTTTCCTCTCCAAATTTCCTAGGTTTTAGCCTTAGTAAATGGCATGAATATGTGTATCCAGCAGATGGCAGTATGTGCGCACAAATAGTTCAGCACAAGGCCATGTACTCACGTGTTACACTGTGCAAAACCAAAGTTGATCCTACAAAACCATTAATGGTTTTATTCCTGTTTTCCTTTAATTTTGTCTTCTATTTAGTATTTTTTTTTCTTGCATACAGCTAAGCCAGAAAGGTTTAGAATTGTGTAACAGGTAAAGGTAATATGTCAAGTGATAATTTTTGGACATTTTAGTCATATTGAACAAAACCTTTCTCTGCCTTTCTTTTATTTTACCATCTTACAACTGGTTGTATCAAATATATTTATGGATATTCTTTAAGGTTGCATGTTTATCACCACTGTAGAGATAATGGAAAACATTTTTCCTGGTTATGATCGATGTAATGGATTTTTAGTAGAACCCATGCAGAATTGTTTCAGTTGCTCTTTTCTTGATATAAAACAACCTTCATACAGTTCTGTAATAAAAACATTTTTTAACCTGTTGCCGTGCAATGCCTTTAGCGGTGCAACTGTGTCATGGACCAACAGCGGTAAATTCAGTAGAAATATATGGACCTGCTTCAGCTAACATTTTTGTCCATGAACATGCAAGATTCACTATTATTATTGCCATTTATATAGCGCCAACATATTTCGTAGCGCTTTACAATATTATAAGATTGAAGAATTAAATATAAATAGGACAATTACAAGAAAACTTACAGGAACGATAGGTTAAAGAGGGCCCTGCTCAAACTAGTTTACAGTCTATAGGACGTGGGGTGTAAAACACAATAGGACAGGATTCAGAGGTATATTCTGTGGCAACCTGATTCAACAAGACCTCTGGTGTGGCAGGTGTGCTAGAATTCACTTGCAAGACCCAAGTAGGGATAAAGCTTGTGATCTTCTAGAGTTGTTTGCCTGAACAGATTTTCTTGTGACCTTTATGTTAAAATACTTATACAAAGAAAATGTTGTTTGATGATCCCTTAAACATGCACCAGGTATTTACTTCCCCAGGGTGTGTAGAATAGCACTTTCTGTCCTCTGACCCTGCTGTGCTTCCTGTGTAAGTTGTTAAATTTTTTACTGCCCCATGGGAAAAAAACCTCTTCCAGGATTTGGGAACAAAAGCATTGCGGTGTTCCCCCTGAACAGGCACCTCTGCCTTTATGGGGCTCTTATGATCCACACTTTATGGGAGAAAGCTTTGTAAGAACTGACACCATTCCACTTTTCGTTTTCTTTAAAGCCTGGGAACTTCCAGGAGGGAAATTTTGATCTCGTACCATGTTCCCCAGCAAGCATAGTCCTAGTTTTGTATTTTGGGCTTTTTTGGTTTTTTTTTTGTTCAGTTATTTCTGTAAATAGAATTTTTTTACTCCTCAATTAGTTGGTTTATTTCTACCATACTGAAAAGTAACAAATACCAATATATTTGTACGTTTTATTACTGGTCATTGATATACAAATTAGTTAGAAATGTTTTGTCCTTTTAATATTTGTGGGCTTTTGTTATTAGGCAATGCTTACATTTTTTTTTTCTCTTTTTGTATTTCCTTTTTTAGAGATATTGACAAGAAGCTCGTGAAAATCGTAGCAGGCATTCCTCAGGTTGATGTAAGAAATACCATCTATTATATTGCTCTGAAGAGCAATAAAAAAAAAAAAAAAAAGCTTGACTATTACAATGCAAGAATTTAAAGGAAACTAGCAAAATATTCAATGTTCCTGTATATATAGGTAGACAATGTGTATATAACTAACGACAGAGCAAGATCACAAACATAGGGAAAACATTGAAATAATTTAATGGAAGGTAAAAAAAATACTGTCTGGTAAATTCTAATTGGAGAACAGTGCAATTCAAAAGTTGTATCACATATAGAGCATGTATGTTGCCCAGATTTTCCCAAAACATGATTTTTTTTTTTTTTTGCATATTTGTTTAAATTGCTACTGTTCTATGAGGTCACTTCTTAGATTAGAATACTCTCCAACTCAGCTAATTGCCCGGCGTGGCTCGGATGCCCGGGTGTATGAGTGGATGCTCATGGTCTAATATATTTTAAATTGAAGTAGAGAGAGAGAGAGTGTGTGTGTGTGTGTGTGTGTGTGTGTGTATGTGTATATATATATATATATATATATATATATATATATATATATATATATATATATATATATATATATATATATATATATATATATATATATATAATATCTCCAGCTAGTTCAGTGAAGTTTAATCTCTGCTCTGGAGATGTTTAATTAAATTTCCATATTTCTTAGTCAGCCCCGCAGTTGACAAATGTTTGCATTGTTGGCCAACAAAGACCTAGATCAAGGCTATTATTTTTCAGAATCAAGTGTTTATTTTCCCAGGGCAATTTTTTTTTATCTGAATTTGTCATTCAGTTCTCTTTTCTCTCTTTTTTTTTTTTTTTTTTCTTCTTCTTTGGCATAAATGAAAATCTTTTTATTGAGAATAGCAAAATAACTATTAAACCAGGACTGTACAAATAATATCAACAGACTGCTCGACCTCCGTTTTTAGTATTTCTTTTGTAACTTTTATTTCTCAATAATGTTCAGAAAGGTTATATTCCATTTAACTCTCTTTTCCCACTATTGATTTAATGCAAAGTACATTTAACGGCTGGCGTGTATTTCAGTGCCTTTTAATTTCTTTCTACAGCGACTTCAGAAGAGAGCAGAACGGTTCAATGTTCCTGCCACTGTGGACAGCAAAAAGGTAGCTCGTGCTATCCGGTAAGACTTATTATTATTATTATTATTATTATTATTAATGCTTTACCAGTCTATGTACTCATCCTGTTCTGATATTTGATTGAAATCTAGACTGTTTTTCTCCTTTATCTTTTCATTATATAATGCTTGCTTCATAACCAGTTTTTTGTGTGTCTTTCTTTAAGGTTTGGCCTTCCATCCACTGAGAACACAGGTATGACTAATTATCAGATATAAACCTACAACTTGTCTAAGAGCAAAATAGTTCCTTATTCATATGCTGTTGTTTGGCTCTCCAGATAGGAATACTTGTTTGAGATTTTCAGGTTTATTCTTTGTTCAGCTTTTTACTTATTGTTTCAGCCTCCCAGTAGTAGAAGGGATCTACCGTATATACTCAAGAATAAGTCGACCCTAATATAAGTTGAGACCCCTAATTTTACCCCCAAAAAACTGGGAAAACTTATTGACTAGAGTGTAAGACTAGTGTAGGAAATGCAGCAGCTACTGGTAAATTTCTAAATAAAATTAGATCCCCAGAAATTATATTAATTGAATATTTATTTGCAGTGTGTGTGTATGTGATGCAGAGCCTTGGTGGGGGGTGGGCATTTTTATTATTTTTTTTTTTATATTATTTTTGTTTTATTTTATTTACATTTTTATGTTATTTTTCTTCGTCCTCCCTCCCTGTTTGTTAGCTGGCCAGGGAGGGGAGCTCTCATTCCCTGATGGTCCAGTGGTGTGCACTGTGTAGGAGGGGGGCTGGCAGCGAGCTGCTACTTACCTTTCCTGCAGCTCCTGTCAGCTCCCTTCTCTCTCCTCCGCTCCGGTCAGCTCCCCTGTAAGTCTCGCGGTCTGAGTGCCACGCTCTGACCCCGCGGCTCTCGCAAGACTTGCAGGGGAGCTGACCGGACCGGAGGAGAGAGAAGGGAGCTGCAGCAAAGGTAAGTAACAGCTCGCTGCAAGCCTGGCGGTCCTTGTCTGTATTATGGCAATGTAAGTTGCCATAATACAGACACTCGAGTATAAGACGAGTGGGGGTTTTTCAGCGCAAAACTGGTGCCGAAAAACTCGTCTTATACTCGAGTACATACGGTAATTTGTGAGCATCTGTGCTCTTCTACGATATAGATCTGGTTTAGAAAGATAAGTCTGTTATATTCTTATGGACTATATATCCATCCACAAAACATCCAAAAATATGAAAGAGTTGTGCAGTTTACTATGGCATCAAAATTTATGCTTTTCACCAAGAAAGCTAGCAAACTAATTAACATACATTGTGGCCCTAATGATTTGTACTGCGCCATGCAGCATTGTTTTTGCACATTGTGCTGAAAAAACATTTCCAGCATTTTGTCGCATGTAGTCACCTCAAGTTTGAGCAAAAACCTGGGTGACTAATATCTTCAGAAAGTGTTGGAGATTTACTGTACATGTGAGCCATGGTTTGCCAAGAACCATGGGGTACATTCTTTATTAATTTTTTTTTATTTTTTTTTAATTCTTTTTTGTAGCTGTCAATTTGTGAACTGCTATTGAGTTACCATAGTTATTAGATCACTTTAGTGCTAATGGTGCCAGGAGTACCTTATCAATCATCCATTGTAAGGAGTCAAACTGGTTTTTGAATGATTTATCTGGGTTCACCTCCCTCTGCCTCAACTACCAATGTTGGACGTTTCTAAGTGGGAATTTCCATTAGCTCATTAAGATCGATTAGTTTATGTATCAGCCAATGAGCTGGCCTTTTCCATTTCTGCAGCTTTGGAAGTAGAGACAGGGAATGTTGCCTGTGGGACCTCACGTTAGAAGTAAAAGATGTGCTTCTTATGGGGGAAGGGGAAATCGGATTTCGAGGCAATAGTGCTTATGGTGCTTGAAATGTTCCTTTCTGTTTGTTTTTTTTAATTGAATCTAGATGTGTGTGTTTTTAAACTACTATATTGTTTGACTATTTACATTTATGTGATGGTTTAGTCGCACACTTATTTTCTGTTGTCTAATGTGTTTATTTTCTTAAATATGTCCCTGTATGTGTACAGTGAGGTTTATCAGTATTTATTTTAATTTCAGGCAAATCCACTGATGTCCTAACAACAGTAAGTACCTTTATCTTTTCTTTTCTTACGGGGTGGGTGTTTGTGTCACTGCCATCTGCACCAAATATCAGTATCACTAACATGTCAACAAAAGGTGATAGTTGCAAAACTAATTGTCAAAGAAGGCTTTCATTGTTCAGGTTCATAGTGTGTTTGTCACGTACGTTCGTACGTTCGTTCGTTCGTTCTTTCCTTCAATTAAACCTGCTGATTAATGGGACCTGTAAAAGGTTTCACAAAACGTATAATTTTCTCCAAAACAAAGATCTGTACTAGTCTGTACATACTGAATGCGTTTGGCAGCTACGAATAAGTCTGTAAAATTGGTGCGTATGTGTTGTATGTTACATCGCATACAGAGATACAGTGGAATTATTGCAAGATCTTTTTACAGCACTTTGTGAACATGTTTTATTGCTACACTGCAATCTTTGCTTCTTTCAATGAGGTAAACAAAGGCATTTTTTTGAGTATTATTTTCCCCCCTCTGCCCCCCTCCAGTGCCATCTTATCAGCAAAAATTCATATAATATTTCTAAGCATGGGTTCCTTGTATTTGATTTCAGTTTGTCCTTTTCGGTACAGAATTGTTGGATATAATGCCAGCTTATATGAGATACATATACTGTCATGGGCCAGAATGTTAATCTAGAATACATTGAGTTCCTTGCCTTCGATTTGTTATTTACAGTTCCAATCTTAGTCTAGTTTTGGATAAACAGCAGTCACTATACAATTCCTGTGGATTGCTTATAGCCCTTCCTGAAAATTAGAAAGATTGTGTACGAAAATACACATTTTGGATTTTAGTTATAGTCCTCCTTTTTTCTTTTAAAAGGTGAATATTGATAAACTTAAGGAGCGAGCGCAGAGATTTGGCCTCAGCGTGTCCCCAGTCACTAAAAAGGTAAGGCGAAACGTAAAGGTGTGACGAATGTGTGCACACCTGGAAATGTCACACATAAATTAATGGGGAATCTACAATCCCCAGCACAGTTACTCCATTACCTTTTTTCCAGTTTGGCCATTATTAAACTATGGTTTGTAGAGGGCATAGAAATACAAGATCTCACTTCTTGCTTTTAGAAATGATTGCTCTTTCTTTGAAAGTCACAGTGTAAGTGGAGACTTTAAATTTCAGATGCACGTTCTACATTGTTATAGCAGGTTTCTGTATGTGAAAAGGACAGACAACAAAGGATACTCAGGAGGAAATGCTGTAAAGACAGCCACAATATTAATATTGTAATTCCATAGTCATCAATATGAACAATGCAAAATTATTACAATGTGATCATGCTAGAATAAGTAGATTTGGCTGGTGGGGAGTCCCATGGAGAGAAAAGGCCACAAACATGCATAAATGTTTAACACCAGTTTACCCATTTAGTGAAATTGTTTGGAATGGATGCAGGTATACCAGCAGTTGAGAGATTACCTCACTGGCTGTGAGTTCCAGGAACCTTAAAAGAACTCCCACCCCCAAAACTTCACCTTCAAGTTATGGGACAGCACTATCTTACATTCAGAGGCTTAATGGCTTGGCAATAGTTTAACCCCTAAGTTGGGCCTCAAGGAACCAACACTGCTGCCTTCTGGTTTTCTGCATCTGTCTCCACATAGATGAGGCTCTCGGCACTCTTCTACACTGTGAGCATCTTTAAAACAGAAATAAATGTTCACTGTTGCAATATGGTAAATTTGTCTTTTTAGGGTCATGTGCCATGTCCCATGTAAAGCTAGGAGTTCACTCTTGTGTGTATGTATGTGTTGATTTTCTAACGTAGGATATACCCTATACGTCTCTCATTATCTATTTCGTTTAATTATTTTCTCTGAATTTTATATTCAATACAATTCTGAGGTGCTTTTTTGTGGGGGAGGGGGTGGCTTTTTAGGCAGGAGGCATGTTGAGGTAGCGCTTTTCTTTCTCCTGTGTCAGTGCAATAAAATGGGAGGATTATGGTGAAATGGCTAGCTTGGTAACTTCTGTATTGTTTTATTTAAACCTTATCTCCACAGGGAACATTGTTCCCTGCTGACTTTGGCCAAACCGGGGAAAAAAGGCAATGGAGTTACTGTGCTGGGTATTGTTGATTTCCCATTAATTTACGTGTGACCCTTCCAGGTGTGCACACATAAGTCACACCCACTCCATCTGATCACAATCAAAAACAATCGTATCTTAAACAATGTAAACCTCACGTGGTAGTGTTAGTCTGTAATAAGCTACATTTATGAGGGTCCTTAACTGCCTTTGTCCTACAGTGTGTAGAGCATATTCACACATCCCTGTTGGTAGAGTTATTGCTGCTTTTTAATAAATTTTAAGAATCACTTCCCCCTGCTCATGTATACATGCACATTTTTTTTCTTCTATTCCTTTAACTCTGGATTCTGGGTTTACATCTGTGTGTGCTTTTTTTTTTTTTTTTTTTTTTTTTTTTTTTTTTTTTTTTTTTTTTTTTTTTTTTTTTTACAAGCTTTTTACATTGAAAGTGTCTTTGTGGAATCTTTTTTAGAGACTTGATTCTTCCACAGAGAAATACATGAATCTTTACACATAACCTGTATATTATTATAGGATTATTTTGTAGTAAAGTGAAGTCATATATGTATCTTAAAATTGCATTTATTGCACTTCATTTAGGTTCCTTAAATGCCAGAATGGTTACCATCAAGATTTACATTTTGCATGACAGACGTTATTAGCATCCCCAGTCTGGTAAACTGCTACCAATGGCAAAAGTTTTATTCAGATCCAAAAGTTTTTTACATATAAGATTTTGTGTCACATATACAGACTATAGAAGAATTACCACTTTCAAGTTCCACTATTTTACATGGTGTATTACTTACAAGTTCACAAATAAACATTGCCACCCAATGCTGTTATTTGTGATTCCCAACTGTGGAGGGAATAAGTCCAATCCAGGGGGTCCATACTCTTTGATATTTGTCTAGTGATCACCCTTCATGTAAACAAGAGACTTTGTGATGTTTTGAAAAGAAAGTGTGCATAAGCAGTGCCAAACAGGCCACAGAATAGTGCCTGTTGAATTTTGGCTAGGCCAGATAAATACCCAATAGCTGAAACCCCCATTCTTTCAAGCACCAAATAAACCGTAAGATTTTGCTTTGGAGTAGTTGAGGACAGCATTCCAAGAAGGTCTGAAGCTAAAGCTAAATACTGTGAATTTACACCATTCTTCACAAAGGAGTGAGACCATTTAAAAAATATATATATATATTTTGTTAAGCCTTATGCTTTCCAGAAATTCCCATTAAGGTTTCAGTGATGTTTAGATCTGTTATATGGAGTGGCTGTAGAAAGTATTTCACTCGATTCTGGAGCTCACAAAACCCGTGTTAAATTTGCACTCCCTGCAGATATCTAAGCATTAACTGTACTGAAATATTGGATGTGATAAGTCATAATTTACAGGATGCTTCCTTGTTATTTGAAATTGACACTTTATATTTCTTGGCCATTTTATATGACTGCTCAGAGCAGTCGGCAGACTGAAAAACTCACACTCTCTCTCTCTGTGACCATGGATGTTTAACAGACAAGTGCTGTTGCCATATACTGTAGATTTTGAGGTATTCATCCTATCTGCTCGATTTGTAAAACACCAGTATTTATATTTCATTTGAACTATAATTAGACATGGCTGATGTGTGCTGCTTTTGTTAGTGGCAAGTATTAATCACATGTCTATTAGCAGAGATGTTACAGCCCAAAGAATCTTAATAAATGTTAAAGGTCAAATTTTCTCTCTACAAGAAAAATAAACTTTAAAAGAAAATTACAGCAAGTAGATGAATTGCAA